TGGATCGTTGGGGTGAAGTGCTCAATGCACTTCCTGGCTCTCTGCCATTTAGCAGTGGAGATAAGCCCAGAGGATGCATGTTTATTAGGAGAAACTTAGCTAAGCATACATGGTTTCACTGAGACAGCTCAGACTAGATGTAAAACTGATTGCTGTTCTGTGGGAGACTATGAAACTGCTGGTTCATTTTTGTGACCAGGAGGGAGCAGCATAGGTATCTCTCCTGAGTCCACTTTTGGTCAGTGGTTCCATTAGTGACTTGGATAATGAAGTAGCAGGAGTGCCTATGGAATTTGCAGGAGATATAAGGCTGGAAAGGGTTGCAAGTACACTGGAGACAGAACTGTAGTTCAGATATATCTTGATGAACTGGAAGATTGATCTGGAAATAGTTGGATAAAATTTAATATGGGTAAGTGCAAGAAAATGGGTATTGTGAATAACCAGCTACAAAAGTACTAGGTAGAGAGCAATTGGCTAGATCTTTCAGAAGAGGATTTTGGGGTTATTGTGCATCCCAAGGTGAACATTAACAACCTCTATAATCCTGTTGTTAAAAGTCAAATGCCACACATTGGAACTATTGAATACAAGTTTGGAAACTGTATTTGAAAAGGCTATGGACCATTGTTAGACACTGCAAAGGATAACAGCAGATATTATTAGAGAAACTGTTAGAGAAAATGTGATTTCTGGACAATGTTGAAAGCATCGGGATTGTTAAGCTGTAAAAAGATAAGGGTATTGGTGTGGAAAGAGATGATAAAATTTCATGTAGATTAAAGACTGGTGCAAAGATGAAGGTAATAATCTATTCTAAATGTTCCTAGTAGACTGGAAAAGAAGCTATGGGCTTAAACTGCAGCAGGAAACTCAAGCTAGGTTCCAAGAAAGCTTTCTAATAGTAAGATTATTTAAACAGTGGAATAGGTCTTGGAGCCTAGGGAGTTGTAGTATTTCAATTTATTGTAAGTCTTCAAAAACAGGTTGGACAAATGTCTGTCCGAAATTATGCACATATAGTTGAACCTGGTTTAAAGGAGAAAGATAGACTTGGATGGCTCTTAGGGTCCTTCCAGCCCTGTTTTCAGATGATACTATGGCCATATTTTATACCAAAATTCACAGTGAAAACACACATGCCACTCTAGATAGGATATTTAAGTATTTTCAATTTTCAAGATGAGGCAGCCAATATAAAAGTAGCCAACTTGTATATGCTTTCATTACACAACAAATACCACAAACCTGGGATGTTTCTTGCTTTTCACTTTTGTCCTTAAAGTCTCCATAAGGCTTTCTCAGTTTACCTCTAAGTTTTCTCACAACATACAGAGCATGAGGTGATGGACATCTTCAGCGCACCTATCTTACATCAGAAATTGTGTAGAAGCAGTGGCAGGCAAGGTGCAAGCTTTGACTGAATGATACCCATTACCTGTCTAATTGCTTTCTAAAGGAGTCAGAAATGCCAGGAGAAGGCATACTGCTTCAAAGTGTGCAGAGCGATGTACACCAATAGAGCTGTAGTTGCATCAGGGGAAAATGATGCTCCCTGCGGTGGTTGTTCCTCAGCTTACTGTTGCCTGATGTGGGAGGTAGATTGACTGCACCCTGAAAAAGGACTTTGATTTCATTTTATTCTTCACAGCCCTTGCTGACATTTTAGAGACTTGGCCTTGTCTATGCTTTTTAAACAGTGAACTAAAGACAGAAGAAAAATTTACCCATCATCTATAAGCTGAATAAAATAAGCATTTAGAATAAAAATCCCTTGAGCAAGCATGTTACTGCTTTTGGGATAAAACAGCAGTATGTGCTTCATACTGGCACATGCAAAGACCACTATGTGACAGGGTGACATTCCTTTAAAATATTTCTTATTTCAATTGTTTAATCCTCTCTTTGCTGACAAAGCTCCCTTTTTTCTTCTTGTATAATGAAAGTTTCTGGCATGCTAGTCTAATTGAAATGACAGGCAAAAGTTAAAAGTAAAATCGATTCTTTGTCTCTGGAGCATCCCCAAGTACTTAAAGGGAAATGTTAGCTGAAGAAACAGAAGGTGTATGTTAACCAGTTAGAAACCAAAATCTTGTGCTATAAGAGTTTGTTTTAAGAAAATAAGAATCATTAATTCAGTTACAATATGTTTACCAGTTTCAATTAACAAATTAATTCAATGAATAATTGAATTTATGTTTGGAATAGCTACAGCTGCAAATGTGTGAATGGTGCTGGTTCTCTGGGCAAAATAAAGGAATTGAAGATGAAGCATTTTAAAAGGCATTAAAGAAGCTAATTCTGTGATCATTTCATTTCTGGAGTTCCACGGAGAGAGAGCTCCTCTGTGTTGAGACAATTTTGCATGCTCTTCTAGCTGACCACATTGCAACCAGAGGAATTTTGGAGGGTTGTTATTTTTTTCAGTTTTGTCTCTAACTTCAGTCCTCAGAGCAGAAGCACTTAGAGTCAGTGCTGCAGCTTCAAGACTGAGGTTTTCATTTTCTGCTTAGCTGCTCACCTTCTCCCAAATGTAAAATCTCAAACCAGATTTCTCTGACCTGTGTTTAGCAATGGTATACAGGGTGTGTGTCTGTCTGACTGTTCCTATCTCTGCCATTGCAGAGGGAAGCAAAGCAGCAAAGTGTTTCAAGCAGATCTGCAGTATTAGGAGTGGCTTCTAAAGGCAGCCATATGTCCCTTTCATAAACCATGAGACTCATGTTAAAAAAATAGTGCGAATTTAACTGGACTGATGCTTGCTGGAATGAAAGTTCAGCAGTAAAAAGTCTGCAATGGTTAGCTGTTACTCCATGCTGTATCCATGTACTAGGTAGCTGCATTAATGAGTGGAGCCTAAGTGCCAGAGACAGCCTAGCCTCTTTGACTTTCAAATTAATCCTAGAAAATGCTGCCTCATGAATATTAAAATGCAGCCTCTTGCTCCATGATCAATACATTAATTTTTGTGCATGACGTGTCAAGGTACAGGCATTTGTCCAATATTCTTGTGTAAATGTCAAAACAGATGGTTCTCAAAACCTGCTGTAATATTTCACGTGATAATAGAAGTGTCTGCCTGCACTGACCTCTTCATATCGAAAGTACAGTCCCAGGCAAATGCTTCCTAAATGGGGCAAATTGACTTGGCATTTGACAGAAACAATGACATCGGCTAGAACGTATGGCAAGGTCCCTATTTGTGCTTGGGTTGAGTCTAGATAACTGCTAGCTGGAGCAAACCAGTCTTCCCAGAGAAGTTACTCTCCATGAAGGAAATAGAATGTATTCTTGCGGAAACAGAGGCACAGAATTGTGCAAAAGCCAGGGAGTTGAGTATTTTTGTTAACAAGCACTTAGACTTCAGATGCTTTCAGTGCAGACAATTATGCCTGGGCTAGTAATACGGATGCTTCTGTAACTGATGGAGGAACACAGGTACGTCAAAGGCTTGATTTATGCCATTGCCATGTATGTGTCTCAAATAGGCCAGAAGAATCTTGCCTTAGAAATTACCCTTTTTTTGCATGGTCTCTGAAGAGAGTCAAGATGTCTGGCTTAGATGCAGATATCTCCACCTAGATTTCAAAAGTGAGATGAGAGGAACTCCCTTCTTCCTCAGGCCATAGGAGATGCCAGCTCAAGAATAGAGAAATACAGTGACTCATTCAGTAGCTGAAGCTGGTTACCAGTTTGCACTGGAGAGGTGTTTAATATCTAGAAACATCCTTTGTTTATTTGGAATTCACTCTGAAGGACTACATATCCCAATGCTTTCAGGTCAACCTATCTTTTGAAATGCAAATTAGATTAGATTAAATTGGCCTTTACCACCTGCAGACATTTGTATATCAAAGAGATTCCTTGTGCACTTTCTGTCAGTCTGAATCCAGCTCAGAATACAATGATGCATTTTTTTTAATGCTGATTCCTAGTAAAATGTCCTTTCTATGTCATTAACGTTCTAATTATTTTTAGCCTAGTATTAGTTAGCCATTACTATGCTCAGTATTGCACAAAGAAGTGAGTATTATTCATTCTAATGGTTCATTACCCCTCTATTTTTACCTACAAGAATCACAAAGCCCGTGTCAGAAATAAAACCGGCAATATTGAGCATCGTAATACTGTTCAGGGCTGATGAGGCTCCCCTTCTCCTCCACCAAGGAGTTGAGCTTTCCATAGAGGATATGCTGAGATGCATAAAGCCCACATCCCCCAAAAGAATCTATATATTTCTCCTCACCTTTCCTCTCAAGGGTCGGTTCAAGCAGACTGAAGAACAGTTCACTGATAAGAAAGTATTGCACAGCAGCCGGTCATCTTCACCGCAGCCCATGGCCAAAGTGACAGTGGAAGAATAGACTGAACTAGCGTTTCTTCCAGTGCTTGTCCTTGCCCACTAATGCAGCTAAATTGCTGAGGTGACCTTCTGCTGGGATTTTGTGAATAGAAGTAATTTTGTGATTAAACAAAACTAGGCTCAGGGGAAGTTTGAACAGTCTCTATCGCAGAACATAGTTTTACTTCTTGATTCACTCCATTAATAAAGGAATAAGCCACCAAACTCAAGGATAAGGAATACCAGCAAAACAGATCTAGGTGACCAGAGACATGTCTCAGGTAGTAAATCCCAGATTTCACAGCACGTACAGGACTGAATCCTCTGTTGGGGAAGAGCTGTGCAAACCAAAATTGGTTTGTCAGAATTATGGATGATAAAAAATTGTCAGATATGTTCACTTAATTTTTTTTATCCAGCCCTGTTAAAATAAACAGACACATAAAAGTCTTAACCTGAATAAACACGATTTGTAAGCAAGATACAGGCCCAAATCCACTGAATATAAATTGATTGCAAGAAGTCATTTTGTCTGCTCTACTTACTGCCATCTGCCATCCATTTGGAGCAATTGATACAAGTTCAAGGTACCTTGAAGTAACAGGCTTTCTCCAAACACTGTTTATTTCAATGTGGAAATATTTGTCTCCCACCACAGGTAATCAGCGAGTTTGAAGCCTCTCCCGACTCATTTTCCTACAGAATCCCCAACCTGAGCCGGAATCGTCAGTACAGCGTCTGGGTGGTGGCAGTGACTGCTGCGGGAAGAGGCAACAGCAGTGAGATTATCACCGTGGAACCACTAGCTAAAGGTAAAATGACAGCACTTTTTAAAGCAATCCAGAACTTTACAGTGCTAATTGCTGTTATAATTGGCACGTGGCTTCTTCGTGCCTCATTGCTTACTGAGAGTGGGATTTGTCAAAAGTAACTTCACTTCTCTCCAAAAAGTTAGATGACAAGTCTCAGCTAATTGCCCAAGCTTTTGCTGTAGTCAGCAGAGAGAAAATGACGTGCTCCTCTAGGGGGTAATTCATCCCACCTACCTTAGAAGGAAGTAAATTGCTTTTTTGAGCAATTTATATCTTCTTTTGTTGGGTAAGAGGGTTTGCAGATGATCCCCCTCCCCTTCTGAATGTGTCTCTTTTTTTTCTTTCCATACAAGATAACTTCTTTAGCATTCCTTTCCTTATGAATATCTCCTGTGTACTCCACAAGTACTATCTTCTGTATAAAATGGTCTGATTAACATATCTAAACTCTGAACAATTGTTCTCAGCTTACATTAGCTTTGAAGTTCACTGCTTCTATTTCAAATAAGAAGAGACAATGTGCCTTAAATCTTGCATATTTTTTCCACCTATATTAGTTGTTCTGTTAAAAGATATTACTTGAGCTCATAAATTCTGCCTTACCTGTACTGTGAGGTGTGATGTTCACAACACTATAACACCTTAGCTTGGAAGTAGAGACCTAATGTTTTAGGCACCAAAATGAGAAGTGTCCCATTAGTACTCAATCTCTACATGGGATCTTCAGACTGTTTTTTTTTCCCCACTCAAATTGATAACACCACAGCATGTGCCAGTATGAACAGTGTATTGCAGAGGTCCTTAGAGTTGCAGTTAGATGCATTTAATTGACAGTTTTACAAGCCACCTAATTCTTCAGTCACATGGCTAATGATATAGTAATGCAAAATAAAGTGTATAGTGCTTTATGAAGACACATACTGTCTAAAAAGGTTTTGCAAAACTTCAGCCAAATGCCACCAACATGAAAGCACTTTCTGCATGGAAGAGCATATTATCATCACTATAGGGAAGCTTGCTGTTCCTGCCTTTCTCGGTGGTAAATAAGTGGTTCAATGATGGTAGATTAACTATCAGAGCTATTGTCATGGATGTCAGTGATGGTGTTTGGAAAGTCCTATTCAACACATGATATAGCTTTCCAGTGCACACAAGTTGCAAAGGGAGTTCTTCAGGTTTGTGATGGGAATTTTCATGTTTTGTCTTTGCCCCCTCCCTAGGCTAAAGTCTTTATCATATGAGAAGGATCTTTTTCAACACTGCCGTGAGAACTCTGTAGTAACTACTGTTACTACCTTACATCACAATGGAAGATGTATCAGTGTAAATACAGTGGGGGTCTAGCAAGGTAAAGAGGCCTGAGTAGGAACAAGCAGGGAAAGGCTTGCTCACTATACTATTGCTGACAGTTTTCTTCTGCCAACTGAGAAGAATCACCTTCACTTTCTGCCTCATTCTGATATCTTTTGTACAGTCTTTCAGAAGATGCTTTCCTTAGTAGCTACACAGTGTTAGTGGTGTGACCTGAAGGATGTCTTAAAGGCTGTGAAAAGTCTGAATGTTCTGAAAAATCTGGAGCTTTTTCCCTTGTTGAGTTTTTTGCAAGATAACTGCATACTGCATCAGTGAGAGCAAAGTTGAAATATTGAAAGGTGGATGTATAATCTATTTGTGGAGGTTATGCTGGGCACTAGGAATACTGGTAGACAGCAATTTTATGAATGTTGAATGTAGCCAGGTTAGAAATTACTGTATCATATAGGAGATTTCCCACATGAATGCATTACTGAGCCTGTTAGAGAGCTGGGAGAAAATGATGATCAGTAATGAGGGCAATGGACACACTGTAAAGAAGGATGGATAGATCTAATACCCTTGAAGACCTTTCTCACCCCCCAGTATGTCAGAAGAAAGTAACACATCATAGTGTTAGAAGCCGTCATAGTCTGATCTTGCCACTAGTCCCTATTGCAAGAATATCCTACAGGCCATTACTGTGAAGTTGTTTGCTTCCTTTTTTCTTCACTTATTTCACAGTAACTGTCCAAGTAATGATACCGTCATGACAGCTAATGAGAGTTAACTTTGAATTGAATTATGTCAACTTAATTATAACCCCTTTAAGAACCCCTTTGACAACAATGAGAATGTCTAGATAGGGGTTTGATGTGAAATAGATAGTCCAATTTAAATGAAAGCTTAATTCAAGCTAACATTTCTTTCTTTACTGTCTACATTTCTCAGAACAGAATGTTATTCTCTGTAATTAACTGACAAAAATAAGCAAAAAACACGCCAACAGAAAATAGTCATGACAATGGAAGTCTCCGTATAAGCAGACTATGCCTCTGCCCCTCAAATTACACTTCATTCCTAACTTGAAAGTTGTGGATTTAACCTATCAATATATTTTTTTAAAAAATAAAATCTTGCATGCATCTTTTTCCTCTTATTTCCTGACCATAACTGATGGAGAATGGCATTTGCTAGCAATGTGATGATAACAGATCTAGACCCATGGCAATCTGATCCACTGGGAGAACTCGCAGACTTTAACATTGACTTTTGTCTGTTCTTATAGACTACCTGAGCATTAATGTTTAACAGGTTTCCCTCTTAGTCTATGTTGCTTTTTGTGTTTAATGTTTTTAAACAACACGAAGTGCAATAAGGACAAGTGTAGAGTCCTGCATCTGGGAAGGAATGATAACAGGTAACAGCAGAGATTAGAGGTTGCCTCACTGGAAAGAAGCCCTGTGGAGAGCCTTGGAGTCCTAGTGGACAGTAAGTTGTTCATAGGACAGCAATATTCCCTTATGGCCAAGAGGGCCAATGGGATCCTGAGCTGCATTAGGAAGAGTGTGTCCAGCAGGTCTAGAGAGTTCTCCTTCCCCTCTGCTCTGCCTCGGTGGAACCACACCTGGAATATTGTGTCCAGTTTTGGGCTCCCCAGTTGAAGAGAGACAGGGACCTACTGGAGAGAGTCTAACAGAGAGCTACAAGGATGATTAAGTGACTTGATCATCAAAGCTATGAAGAGAGACTGAGAGAACTAGGGCCGTTCAGCCTCGAAAAGAAAAGGCTGAGAGGAGATTTTATAAATGTATACAAATATCTGAGGACTGGGTATCAGGAGCAAAGTGCCAGTCTCTTTTCAGTGATGCCCAATAATAGGACAAGGAATCAAGGAATCAAGTTATGAAGTTGCACCTCAACATGAGGAGAAACTTCTTTACTGTTAGTGGGAGAGAGCACTGGAACAGGCTGCTCAGAGAGGTTGTGGAGTCTCCTTCTCTGGAGACTTTCAAACCCCGCCTGGACGCGTTCCTGTGTGGCTGCCCTAGGGGATCCTGCTCTGGCAGGGGGGCTGGACTCAATGATCTCTAGAGGTCCCTTCCAACCCCTAACATTCTATATTCTACGATTCTACATGGGGGTCACATGATAGTACACACACCCTGTTGGTCTGTTTCTTTAATGGTTCTCATACTGGAATATGCAGTATAATCTTCTGTGAGAAAGTAAATGAAAGCAACTCCTGACCCATAGGATTCACTGAAGGCTTTTGTATTTATATTAAGCTGAGTTTCAGTGAACTCTCATAGTTCTTGTTCAGTTTCCTTATGCAGTATGCCTTTAAAATTCAGCTGTGTCTAGAAAGGAAAATAAAGAAAAGGAAGAGGAAGAGGAAGAAGAAGAGGAAGAGGAAGAGGAAAAAGGAGAAAAGGAAAAGGAGAAAAAGAAAAGGAAAAAGAAAAAGAGTGTATTATGGCCTCTCACAAAGAATTTCTGCAAAATAGTTATTGGCAGTGTAGGTAATAGAATTCATAGTTTTAACAAACAATCATGCAGAAAACTTCATTAGCATAAGGAGTGCAATATTCTGTGAAGGCACCTCTTTATCTTCAATTAATGATTAGGTAATTTGCAAAAAATAGGAACAGACACAGTCCTAATCCAGTGCCATGACATCTAACATAAGGCTGGTGGGTAGTTACTAGGCATGTGGGTAGCTCTGTCGATAACAGAGCTGAATTGCCCACATACCATGTAAAGCTCCCTTGACGCATAAGGGAAAGGTCTCTGAGATTCAAGGCACTTTAACCTCATGAATGCTGTTAGCATTTCAAACCTACTGCTTTCAGATGAATTTCACTAGACGTTTGTTCTGTTTCTAGTTGTCTTTTGTTTGTGTGCTTGTTACTAGCCCCAGAACACTCTTAGAAGTTAAGCTACAAAGAAAAATTGGAATTAAGAATTTTGTGCTGTTTTACCATCTCTTTTAAAAGCACTCATGAAAGGAATAAAATAATCTGTAGAAAGCTGTAGGTACTATCACAAGCTTAGTTCAGTATGCTTTTGTAATGTATCTTAACACTGGCTTAGGCTTCTGTGACATTGTGTTACTTCCACACTTCACAGTAAGATCACAGGATATTGAAAACCAAGACCTACAACATAAATGTTGTGCTTTCAAGATTTGATACCCTACCTATGGCTTAAGGAAGAATTCACTCTGAAATAACTATTATAAATAAAGGGATATCACAGAAAGTTCACGAACAGTGGTGCCATGTCATGCTGAATGATTCCTGCATTACATATGCTTTGTCCTAAAGTAATTGGCAGCAGTTAGAAGTAGCTGGATATTTTGAGAAACACTGGAGAGGTGGGAAAGCCAAGGAGAAAAGGATTAATAGTTCATTTTAAGTGAGTTTTCATACTTCATGGTACAGTGGGAATTTTGCCTGGAACCGGAATTTGAGTTTCCAGCCACCATTGTTCAGAATGCTCTGCTGCTACTAGGAGCAGTCCAGATGCTTACAGATGTGTTTTGTAGATAGTTACAGCTGAAAGCATCTGCTACTGATTTGAAAGATGGCATGAGTACCATTAAGCATCTCCTGCAATGATAACCTGAAACCACTGAAGACAAATGATTCTTCAAACACTGACTTCATTGCAGTCAGAATTTCACACCATGTCTCTGGGTAGAATGAGCTGGGTAGAATTTTTCTGTTTCAGTTACCTTAGTTAATTAGCCCATAGCTTATGGCATTATAGGCCTGGGTAAATCTTTTCTAGAAGATAGGGCTTTAGGAATGCCACAGTGCAAAACAAGGCTTTAACATGAGGTTTGCTGACTGAGCGGTGTCTTTGCATCTGTCTGGTGTGCCACCTCCTCAGGGCAGCACACACCACAGCACCCTCCCACCAGGGCCAACCGTCAGAGCTTCCAGAAGAAGGGAGACAACAGTCTTCAGCTCCTGTTTAACCAGGACATGTCAGTGCTTGGTTGCTGGGAAAGTAATGTTGTCCCATTACCTAACGTTGATGTTGCCCATTACCCTTAATCTTTTAAACAGCTTCTTCTTGTGTTTTCAGTTAAAATTTTGACAAGAGAAAAATCTTGTGAGAAATTAGTCTTCACACAGAAATGCCTAGATTGGAAAAGACCTTTAAGATCATTGAGTCCAACCATTAACCTAACACTGACAAGTCCTCAATTAAATCATATCCCTAAGCACTATGTCTACCTGACCTAACTACCTCCAGGGAAGACGACTCCACCTCTGACCTGGGCAACCCGTTCCAATGATAACCCTTTCCAGTGATAACTCTTCTTGGTAAAAAAATTCTGCTTAATACCCAATCTAAATCTCCCTTGGTGCAACTGGAGGCCATTTCCTCTTGTCCTGTGACTTGTTATGTGGGAGAAGAGGCCGATCCCCATGTTGCCACAATCTCCTTTGGGGTAGTTCTAGAGAGGAAGAAGGTCTCCCCTCAGTCTTCTTTTCCCCAGACTAAATAACCCCAGTTCCCTCAGCCACTCCTCATAAGACTTGTGTTCTAGACCCTTCACCAGCTTCATTGCCCTTTCTTGGACACACTCCAGCACCCCAATGTCTTTCTTGGACTGAGGGGACCAAAACTGAACACAGTACTTGAGATGTGACCTCACCAGTGCTGAGTACATGGGTGAAATCACTTTCCTGGTCCTACTGGCCATTGTCTTCAACAATGCTTGAAGAGAACATAAGGAACAGTCCAAACTGATTGTATAATCTATGAAATCTTTTCTTTTTATGAATATCTCAAGCCCCATCACAGTCTACTATAGTAATTTCCTTTAACTCTTCAAGGCCTGTTATTTTATGCATGATTTGGTTTTTTTGAGGTGCTATTTCCCAGTTCTATTTGACACTGCCTCCCATTTTTATGCTTTTCTAATTGGTGTTAAATAGATTATTAAGTATGAATTCCAATCAGTGTGAATGACTGAATTAGATAAGGACTAAAATTGCGGTGTTTTGTGTCTCTGTAGTCGGTATGTGCCTTTGAGATGTGTGTCAAGGGTGATCCTTGAGTAATAACATACGACGAAGCTCTAACATAACCCTAGTGTTCCTGTATATTATAAACTGAAACTACAGGAGTGGTACTCCAGTTGATATATTTAGGTGATATGAGAGCTGACACAAGTTAAACCATCTTAAAAGTTTTTTCATATTTGTAGACTTCAGATAGACTCTACAAAGTACTAACAACACATTCATGAAGGTTTATTTTGCTTAATACCATAGCTGTTGTAATATTGATGTATCAATAATTTAGCTTTTGTAAGATGCCTGTTCACTGTGGACACTGCTGGAAGTTTGAAGAGAAGCATCCCTTTGATAAAATTTTCACATAGAGTTTCTACTATGAAATATATAAAAATCAGTGAAGATGTTCAATAACTGATTTCATTTTTTTTTCTACAAGGACTATTCCAATCCTCTGCCTCATCTCTCTCTTAAGTTACTTGTTTTCCAAATAGTAAAGCTATACTATTTGTGCTTCAATATTCTAAGTTTAAAAAATTAGTTTCCTAAAACCGCAGCTATATTTTGATTTTCCACATTTAATTCTGGAAGTTTGTGTTTTCTTTTCAAGGCGTGTATGAATTTCAGTTTTTCTTCTTTCTTGCTCAGCTCCTGCCAGGATTTTGACATTCAGTGGCACGGTGACAACTCCCTGGATGAAGGACATCGTCCTCCCTTGCAAAGCCGTGGGAGACCCAGCTCCAACGGTCAAATGGATGAAGGATAGGTAACCAGCAGCAAATGTATAGCTCAGAAAAAGCCCATCTGCTTAAAACCCTGAGGATCAAATGTGGGTGACCCTGGGTGACTGAGTCAGGAAGGAGAAGGATGACTTGCAGGGACTGTGCACAGTCACAGTAGTCAAGGAGTTAAAAAATTCTTTGAACTGAAACTAATTGGCTGTGGTGATTAGAAGGTATTGAAAGGGAAGAAGTTATGAAGAAGGGGTAAAGGTAACAACTCAAAACTTAAAACCTAAGAGTCTTTTAAGTTTTAACTTCAGACACAGAGAATAGTTTCAGTCTGAGAAAGCAAAATATCCACTGCACTGAATGATGCTGTGGAGTGCAGTGTACGTCTCTTGCACACATCTTGTTTTTCATTATTCTGTCTTGATCTTTAGTTTCACAGTCTGACAGAGTCACCTGGGAACATATATAGACAATAATTTTCAGCCAAGAACTAAGCAGTAGTACTGCAGTGCTATGAAACCAGCTTGTGCATTAATACAAATAGCTATTATAAGGATGGAGTTTGTGGCCAGGAACTGCCTTTTACTCTTATTTTCACACTTTCATGAAATAGCAGATAGTTAAGAAAGAGTGAATTTCCATTTCCACTCCCATCTGGGCCAGGATATACATGTTCTTTAAGCAAATGGCAGGTGTTGCCCAACAGAAAATGTTCTTTTGCAGTCTTTATTAAAGAGGACACCACTTTTTCTTTCTTTCCATTCATAGTTGCTTCAAAGGAAAAAAAACCCAATTTGAGTAATTTTGATTGTAACTTCTTTAATGTATGCACTTTGTTTCCTGTGAGGTAGTAACGGGACACCCAGTCTAGTGATGATTGATGGGCGAAGAAGCATCTTTAGCAATGGCAGCTTTGTCATACGTACTGTGAAAGCAGAAGACTCTGGATATTACAGTTGTGTGGCCAGTAACAACTGGGGATCAGATGAAATAATTCTGAATTTACAAGTACAAGGTAAGGCTATTGGATCTCTCTCATAATTGTTATCACAGCTATTAAGTGCTACATGCTGATAATGCATAAGCATGTCTGTTTGTGGGTGCATGTAAATTATTAGTGTTAATGTGTATTCATAGAAATGTCATTCTTCAAAAATAATAAATAAAATATTATGCAAGTCACTGTGACTCAGACATCAACATGTTATGATATAGCAAACCTTTTGGTTTTGGTGGAAGATTTACTACACACACTAGCAGTTAAGTCTTTATGTAAACTTCTGTAATATTGACAACTGAGTGTCTGCATTCAATTATCTTCTAGTTCTTCACACTGAAAATACCAGCTTATGCCTTCTCCTTACAAATATTACATGTATCATTTAAATATTGCAAAATTCAGAAAGAGCTGAAGGCCTTTACTTTAGCTTCTGAAAAACTGTGGACAGAAATTTGTCTCTGTACTGAGACCTTGAAAAAAAATTCATTATGCAAGAGTAGAATTTTATTGATGTGAATATGAGGAAACATTTAACATGAAACATTGGTTGGTTCACCTTCAACTAGCATGTATTAGCTACTCTTTATATGCATGTAAAAATGTATATAATGTATTCATTATGGTGTTAATATTTATAAAAGCAATGACAATATATGAATACACATTAACAGCAATGTGAAGCAATGCAGACTAGCAGTAATTTGTATTCACATAACAAGAATTCGCTATGCAGATTTCCTTGCTCGCTTATACTAAAGTAGATCCTAAGAGTACTTCAACTGGCTGCAAATTGTTGTACCAGAGGAAGGCAAATAGTCAGTTTGGGTATATGGGCCATGCTGTGGTCAGTCACTCTCCTGTCCCTTAATACGCCGTCTGAACTTCTAGTGCAACTATATGAGAACACAGACAGAGATTGTTTCAACTGCAGTCCAGCTCTCTCTGCATAAACCTTTCCACTAAGCCTTGAAACAAATGCCATAGCATATATTAACTTACCTACAATCCAACAGAGCCTGAAGATGGTCTTCTGCAATGTTTAAAGTGTGACCGCAACAGGAAGCAGGGAGAGAAAACACAATCAAATGGAAACCTTATATTTCACTAAGTACTTTCCTAATTGCATATCCTCACTGTTATTTAACTGTAATAACTAAAAGCAAATCAATATTGCTTCCCTGAGGGACAGAGAGAGACTGGCATTTAATATGTGAGACCATCACCTTTTCTAGGTAGGGTGAAGCTGTGATGAAAGCTTTCACAATAAATTTTTCACAGTGTAGTGTGCGCAGTCTCCATGGAATCAGCCAAGTCAGTCAGAATAATGGAACAAATCTATCTCACACAGGGAATTTTCCTTTGGAGTATAAACTGTCTTTTTTCAGCACTGTTTAGCCATGCGAGGTCAGTAAAATCAACTTTTCCATAGTCCATAGCTGCAAGCCAGCAGCCTCTGCTTCATGTCAGCACTCATTATTTTGCAATCTGATGACCTGAATGTGAACTGCAGTGGGGAGCTTTCCTGGAGTTTCACTCTGCAGGTAGAAATACCCCTTAAACATAGGCAGTGCAGGCAATGTCCTGTGGCAGCAGACAGCTGGACGTGACAGAGCACTTGTGACTTCTGTCTTGCCTTGCTTATGGGCTGATGTCTGTCCAGCAGCAACCACAGCAGGGAAATGGCAGCTCCTGTCAGCAGCGGTCACCAACAACCCCAGCCCCTTCCCACACTTTCAGTGGCAGTGACTGGAGGAAGAATGACTACCCTGTCATCCCTTCTCCCTGGCTTTCTATCCCAGCTTTACCAGTGCTACTCAGATCCCTTCCCATGATGGACACTGTCCATGCCTCACTCCTTGTTCTGGGGGCAGCAAAACTCAATTTTGCCTACATTTCTGAGGAGCTTGGAGACTTCTAGTAACATTTGCTCAAAAAAACAATCCGTAAAATAAGGCAGACACAGTGCTACTGTGCATGACCAAAGCAGTGCAAAGGATTTGAAAGAGGAGCTTCACTTTCTCCTCCTTTCAATTTACGAACTTAAAATTGCAGATGTAAGGTGCTTGGGTAATGCATTAGTAAATATTTACCCTTCAGGACTCTAATAAATATTCGACTAGCTCTTTGAACTTTCACCTGCCCTTTTTCTCTATTTTAGAAACCACTATCCTCCACAGCCTTACTGGTTTTGTGCCCTGGTTCTGATTTCCTCACTTGTCCAACTGGACTCACTAAATGATTCAGGAAGAAGTCAAAGATAAGGTCTCCAGACTATAACTAGCGTACGATCATATTGGCTCATGATAGCTTTGTCAAGGTGAAAAGAAAGCTGGCTGCTTTGCCACTTTCTGTGCCTAAGCATTGAGCTCTGCAAATCCAGCCACTATGCACACTAGTGCAATTTGAGGTTACCTAAGCTGACCCTAAACTGTCCCAGTTCCCAGTCCCATTTCCAGTACCAATTTTATGTCCAAATTCCCAATCCCAGTTCTCTCTATGCTGGGCAGCTTGTCAAGATACAGCATGGCTCGTTCTCTGCCCTTTCATGCTGGATTTTCCTCCAAGGGAAGCTACATACTGGGCAGAAGGTGAGAGATGGGACATTTTTCTTATTGCTGTGTTCTATCAGGAGCTGGTCCTGGGAAATGTGCAGTTCTTATGTCCCACAGTTTAGACACAGCCGTAGTGTTTATGGGGAGCAGCAAGACTGAAGTACTTCCAGGTTTATTGAGCCTTTGCTGAGAGAGTTTTGTCTTCTTTATACCAACAGCCTCAGTGAATAGATGATGAGATTTGGAAGAGGTATGGATCTGACTCCAATCACAGATCTACATAAGCTACCTAGTTAGCACTCACAGTTACACTGGCAGAAACTCGTTATTCATTTTTTTCCCCCCACTTTTACCGTAACAGCCTGCAAACATATGCATGAGTGGGACATCATTTGCAAGTGGACATCTGTCTCCAGCCACTAAAATTTCAGGTTGTCCCTAAAACAGATATGAAAAAACAGAAATGAAAAATAACGGCTGGGTAATTCATATGCTATTTAGGTCTGACAGGACAGATATAAAAAAAATCAGAGAAAAGCAAGGGTTAAGAATTGAAAGAAAAAAATGTGTAGAAAATTAAATACAAAAAATGAGAGCTTGTCTGCTCCTGTCTTAACCAAGTATGTCAGCTAAACAGACACTTTGACAGAAATAATTTGCATTTTTTGCAACTCAAAACAGTTATTTGATAAATGACTGTTAAAAGGAATTAAGATAATGTCTAATCATTTGAATCTATTTTCTATTTTTAACTACTTGCCATCCAGTTCCACCGGACCAGCCAAGACTCACTGTATCTAAAACTACATCCTCCTCTATCACGCTTTCATGGATACCTGGAGACAACGGTGGCAGTTCTATCCGAGGTAATATAACTCAGGTTAATTGCAACTTCTTGCTAGATTATCATGTGTTGATAAGATTAGTGTATAATTATGAATGGCTACCAAAAAAAAACCCACCAGAAAACCAAAACAATCTGTATTGCTGTCATCACTTCATATGCACTATCATCGTGGTACCAGCTTTCAGTAAATTGTAGCTTCCCTTTGTAGTGATTTAATCGCAGATCTAATCACTTTCTTGCAGCATACCTTTAGTTTTTATGACAGTTTCTCTCTGACTTTCCAGACGTATAATCTCTAACTATTCATTTTTGAGAGTCCAGGTTCAACATCTGGTTTTTGTTGATGATTGAAGGGTATTTAGAACTGTCTATTCTTTTCCCTTTGAAGTGATCATAAATATAGTATTTAAGCTGTTGTAAGGGTAGACAAAATGTATCGCCTGATATCTTTTAGTCAGTGGAGAGCTGTATGTCTTTATGTGCATGGGATTTTTCTCGTTTTATTAGGTCTTTAAAATGACTTGTCATGTTACTTGCGGAATTTGTAGTTTATGTCCGGCTTATCATTACCATCTGTGTTTTTCCTCCAGGATATATTTTGCAGTACTCAGAAGATAACAGTGAGCAGTGGGGTAGTTTTCCCATTAGCCCTAGTGAGAGGTCCTATCGTTTAGAAACATTGAAATGTGGCACTTGGTACAAGTTTACTTTAACTGCCCAGAATGGAGTGGGACCAGGACGCATCAGCGAGATCATTGAGGCCAAAACGCTTGGAAAAGGTACGTTGATTTCCATTTCCTTTTCTCATTTAAAGCTCTTATGTTCTGCAGTAGATCTTGATTTGATAAGAAAGCAGACTTGGATATTTTAATATTATTAGCTTTGGAAACTTCTCCAGTTGTGTCCATCCTGTGACAGAAGAGGCTGACATACTGGCTGGCATTCTATCCTTATTTCTCTAATTTTTTTTTTTTAAAAATGGGTTGGTAGATATTTGAGAATAGGATGTGTCCACTATTATAGACTATAGCACTTCCAACTATAGCTATTGCCACGAGGAAATTGTTTCTTCTCTTGTTGTAAAAATTCAGAGGTTTATTTTTCTGGTTGTTGAAGGAAAAGGGGGAGCATATTTATGTGCAGAGGAAAGAGAGCCAAAATTTTATTTCTGCTCCAAGCTTATATTGCAGGAGCCATGCAAGTGGCACCTTTTGAACAGGGTAAGTGTCAAAAACTAAGAAAAAGTGTGCATACAGCTGTGCAAGAAAAAACAGCCAAAATTTGTGCAATTTTTAGCTAACTCGGCAATGGATCCCTTAGTTCTGGTTGCTGAGGCTATTTTCGCATTGCAAATACATGTCAGAATTATCAGCAGGTTTGGCAACAGACCCACTTGAAGAGAGCCTTGCCCCTAAGGCAACAGAGTACAGTAGCTTTGCATAATGCTCTAAAGATTGCCTCATCCTGCATCTGCTCAGAGGCTGTAAGAAATGCTCTTATTTGGGAGCAGTTTCATAATGAAGATAGTTTGCTTCGGTAGGCATGTCTGCCCTTCTCTATGCTCTTAGAATCATAGAATCATAGAACAATTCAGGTTAGAAAAGACCCTTGGGATCATTGACTCCAACCATTAACCCTACACTACAAGTTCACCCCTAAACCATATCACCCAACACCACATCTAAGCAACACTTAAATACATCCAGGGATGGCAACTCAACCACCTCCCTAGGCAGTCTATTCCAGTGTCTAAATACGGGAAGAATTTCTTCCTAAGGTCCAGCCTAAATTTACCCTGTTGCAACTTGCAACCATTCCCCCTCGTCCTGTCCCTAATTACCTGTGAGAAGAGACCAGCACCAACCTCTCTACAATGTCCTTTCAAGTAGTTGTAGAGCATGATGAGATCCCCCTTCAGCCTCCTCTTCGTCAAACTGAACAGACCCAGCTCCCTCAATCGCTCCTCATAAGGTCTGTTCTGTTTCTTCATCACATCTGTGCTGTTGCAGATCTCCCAAGCAACACAGCAAGGTGAACGTTCCTTTTGACACTCAGTGGCACAGGGAAGACCTGGTATGCAGTAGATGAGAATGGAATCATAGAATTGTCAGTGTTGGAAGGGACCTTAAAGATCATCCAGTTCCAACCCCCTCACCATGGGCAGGGACACCCCCCACTAGATCAGGCTACCCAGGGCCCCATCCATCCTGGCCTGAAAAACTTCCAGGGATGGGGTTTCCACCACCTCTCCAGGCAATCTGTGCCAGTGTCTCACCACCCTCATGGGGAAAAACTCCTTCTTAACGTCCAATCTGAACTGATCCATCTCTAGCTTCAATCCATTCCCTCTAGTCCTATCACTACCTGACATCCTATTAAGCCCTCACCAGCTTTCTTGTAGCCCCCTTGAGATACTGGAAGGTCACAATAAGGTCTCCTCAGAGCCTTCTTTTCTGCAGACTGAACAACCCCAACTTGCTCACTTGCTGAGTTGCTGAAGCTCAGGGGAGACTGCAGGCCAGCTATGCACATGCTGAAACTACCAGTGGTCAGGGAGAATGGTCTGATGACCCTGAAGAAAGGGACATTTAGAGAAGTAGAAGTTGATTGTTCTTATTTTCAACACATGAAATGTAAAGTTTACACATGCTTCAAATAAGATCTAAATGGTTCATGAGAAAATAGATCTCCCAGTCTTCCGAGTTTCCCTGAGATTTATATATATGCTTGGAAACTACCTGTGTTATATTCACAGACTGAGCTAGGTATTGTGTAATTTAGCATCCTGTGATCATTTTCATTCATGTGAGGGCTCCAGAAACATCTTTGTCCAAAGCTATTAATGGGGCCAAGTGAAACAGTTCATAGTTGGACAGAGCCATGAGTAGCCTGATCTAGTTGAGAGGTGTCCCTGCCCATGACAGGGAGGTTGGATTAGATGATCTCTAAGGTCCTTTCCAGCCTAGGCTATTCTGTGATTCTATGATTCTATAACACACA